TGTTTACTGCGGCTTAAAATTTTGGAATTCAGAGATGGCATTTCAATTGCTGGTGCTACGATTACTGCATGGGAATCAGTCAACATATCCATTAACACAAGACAAATAAAAGCTCTGCAAAAAGCGAATTAAAAGCCCCATTTCTGCCATTGTCGACCAATCACAGACCTTGGTTTTCAAAAATGCATTAATTTAGATATTAATTACTACTTTAAATCTTGGTGAAGTAGCTCAACTTGTTTCCACAAATTCGTCGTGTTCAAAATATATTTATGATATTGAATGATTTTTTTAATATAAATCATTAGGCTAAATATTTTAATATTTCCTAATTTATATGTGACGCATACAAATACACTAGGCTAATAATATATGACAAATTCGATCCAGAAAGTATTTGGCAAGGGAGACATCGAGTTCAACTCAAACCTTATTGCGTTCTATTGCTCCATCACCTAAGTAGATTGTGTATTAGGAATAAATTTGAATAAATTCCAAATACCGTCCTTCATGCTGAATCATCAAGAATATTATGGATGAACATAAATCGAAAGTGTACCTTAATAATATGTGGTTCGTTTCGTGGAATTGATGCCGCACAACCACCAATCTTATAGGTGCTACATTATTCGAAGAATCTTTTAGATTTTCTATATGAGACCTTTTTGTCGATGGGATGCAGAAAAAAAAAAGAAAAAAAAAAAACGTTATAACGTGTAACTTAGGGACCATGACCAACATATGGCTAACCCAATGGGTTATTTTGTGTTAGTTTTTTTTTTTTATATTTTATGCCATAGCTACAATAAAATTACCCTAATACATGTACACATTAAAAAGACACCTCATCATATTAGACATATTTCAAGTCCAATCGAAATAAATTTTAGTAGATCATTTTAACGGACTTAACCTGACACACAACAGTCTCACAACACAATATTTTTACATATGTCCTGCAGGGGATGGTTTAACAGTTGGAATAGGTGAGCATGTGCTAATTGACCAAGGTTCAAATTCCCTTACCAATGGTCGATGGGTCGAGTATGTCACATATAATAGCACAATGTAGTTTACGTATCTCGTATGGCTGCAAGCTATTATATGAGAGTGTATATTTACCCATTACACCTATATAGTGGTTGACTGTGGATTCATTCATTAAAAAAAAAAATTACATATGGATTAATAATCCACGATATTGTTATTTATAATACAACAATTATTTGAACAATATACATAGTTTTGTTTTAAAACAAAAATAAGTAAAGGGCAGAGGGAAACTTGACAAGATTGGATAAAATATAATAAAAATTTATGCTAGTACATTTGTTGTAGGATCCTAGAATTACAAAGGAAGGGACAAAATCACATTTATTACTAATTAAATAAATAAATATATTTCTCATAGGATTCGCCAATTTCAGTAATAGCTCTGCGTAGTAGCTGTGATTATTAATGTATGATTCATTGTTGATCCTTAGATAATTATTAAAAAATGATGGCTCAATTGTTAAGTAAGTTAATAATTGTAAATGATTTTTTTGAGAAAAATAAATAATCATCCTTCCTATCAATAATTATTTTTCCACTAATTACTCTTTAATTTGTAAGAACTAATGTTCAAAATATTTAATTATGAGTATTAAGAATCATTTTAAACAAATTTCATATACATAATTGAAATTTTAAAATGACATATATAGCTAGAAATTGTATTATGCAAATTATGATGCTTTCGCTTTGCTAAAAAGAAAATAAGAGAAGGCACAACGATTATTACACAAATTATTACATGAATTTTTATTTTATTTCGGTAATGAAGGATCCGCAACCAACGATATAGGTGCAGACGCATGGGGTAAACCTACACTATCTACTCTCGTATAATAGTGTGCAAACTACATGAGAGACGTAAACCACACTAGAGTAACCTACACTCTCGTATAATAACTTACACACCATATATACGAGAGATGCAAAATACACTAAACTAATCGTCTGTGACAAACTCGATCTATTGACAATGAAATTTGAACTTGGATCAACTGACACAAAATCACTCTACTATGCTATCCCTTGTGGGAAATTACATGAAATTTTGTACTTATACCATATGTGTTTCAATTAATTGATGATT